TTGATCTCTCCAACTGGTCTACTTCTACCCATATGTTCTAATTAAGATAAAGAATATCATATGTATGTTAGTAAACCTATTGTTCAAATACGTATTCACATACACATTCAATTCAAACACTTTACAAAATCCCTATTTTGGAATATCAAATAGATTATACTTGTAAACAATCAGGTTATATTCATATACAGAAAGAATATAAGTGCACACCACATACGCGAACTAGTCCCATACGACAAGCTTGTTAGGACAAACTACTTTGATACCATTTTGTAACATCCTTACTATAATTTAAATAATTTCCTATTTGGAGATACAAGTATCACTGCGATGTGAATAAAATAAGTGAAAAGTAGATAAATATAGAGAAAATTTTTGTGTATTGTAAAATCTAAATAAATAAAAATGAACAAAATTTTAAAACTTTATATATATTACACATATACTTTGAATAATCATTTAAGATAATTACATATTGTAAATAACTTGAATAGAAACTTAGTCAATGATATTTTTAGCGTTTTTTCCAAATAAACTAAATTCTGCAGAGTAGTTCCCTTCCTACCATTCCTTGCAAGTATGACCTTAGAACGGATCAATCTCCCTTTTTATCTTTTTATTACCTGAAAAAGTTTGTAAGGGTGAGTATCCCTTGCCCACTAAATTCTCATTTTATAAAACCATCAAAATAATGTAGAAATATTTTCTAGTATAACATGTAACAAAATAACAATATTCTATTCTTAACAAATTCAATCACACTAAATTCTTTATATACGTCTTTCTTTATTTACTCATACACATTTCACTACTTATTTAATCAATCCAATCAAATTTAATACTTGAACCTATACCATAGAATTATTCATACAGGTTTTAATCAAACAAAAGTTGTCCACACACATTACTTCATATTATATCAAACGTCCATTCATCACTCAATCAAATAACGTCCATTTCTCCTTTATTCAACATAATCGATTTCTCAATTTATCAATACGCTCATTCACTTTCTCAACTTATACCACTTTAATCATTTCAATTTTAAAAGATTCATTAATTAAGAGTACTTCTAGGTACTCACGGGCCCCAATCGCTGCCAACGTACTTTCCCTAGTTATGAAAGACTTACGCAGTGTGGATAGTCAATTATAAGCTAAACCACACACAGATACAAAATTAGTATTCACAACCTTCCAAGTAGAAGTATAGTTAGGAGTTCGGTTAAGAAATGAGTGTGAGGCCTGTGAAGGTATCTCACTTTTACATCATGTACATATCAGTAAACTGCACTTACCACTCTCCCCCATATTTCCATAATCAACTTTAGACCTGACCCTCAATGTATCCCTAAACTATCCATACAGTATCTCAATAGTGGTATATTAAATCATACTATTCTAATACATATGTTACAATCACACTAATTAATGTACTATAACATATGTGTTATAATCTCACCCATCAATATATTTACAACAAATATATCATAATCGCACCAATCAGTGTTTTTATGACACATATTAGTTTTCCCTTTTTTACTTACATCTTCTCAATACTTTCACATAATTCTACCAGTTTCATTCACCAATAACTTTCATATATTCACATCCATCTCATATATTTCTATGCACTATCATATTTTCCATCATCTTTCTAATCATTTTATTAAGGAACGCATATCTAATATTTCATATATCCAGACTTAGTCCAATTCACATATTAATAACAAAGCATACTTCTTTATTTCAATACCTATATGATTTTCATCAATTGCATACAAAATTAAGTTCTTTATTTCAACACATAATTGTTACGGGCTAAAAATTCATATTCTATCATTAATTTGGCACATTTTTTTGATTGAAAAGTAAATAATTCTGGGTATATTTAACTTCCAATTGGATGAATTAATCTAATTGAAGAAGTCACAAGAGTGGTAGTGTTTTCTTTTAAAATATCTCTCTTTTGTGCAAAATTTGGTGAAGTCTGAAATTCAGGGCTACAGCTCCAAATCCACAGCTACAGCCATGAAAGTATGCAACAAAAGGAGGATTCCAGAAAGTTACAGCCAAAGCTGTGAATCTACAGCTACAGCTGTGAGAGAATTAGTACAAGTCAAAGCTACAGTTACAGCGGTGAATCCATAGCTATAGCCGTAGAGTTAAAATCTGTTCGAATTCTTCTTGTTTTGAAGACCCATAAAAGAAAAATGTTTAGGAAGTGGAAAAGGCAAAAAAAAGCATAATAGATCAGGGAAAAACGGGACTTTTAGGAGGAGAAAAAAAGGAAAAATAGAGCAACAGAAGACAGGGAGAGGATCACTTCAGAACGAGGATCGAATCTTTACTTTTTCTCATTGTAATTTTAGTCTGCATCTTGCTATAGCCCTCACTATGAGTGGCTAATTTCTTTTGGATTGGATTCAATATAACTCCTAACTCAATTACTTCGTGAGTTTATATGATTTTCAGTTTATTTACTTGAGTGTGATTCTATTCTTAATGCTTAATTCGGCTTAATCACCCAGTTTATGATCTTTGGCTTTTGAATTCTATTGGGAAACGCTTTTGAAAACCCAAATTGAATCACACACCTAATAATCACTTGTACTAGGAATAGACTTGGGGTTGTTAGCCACATATGTTCAAGTTTTATTCTTAATGCAACGTATTAATCTTAAAACATAGAGGAATCATGTTGTAGGATTAATTACCTTAGGACTTAATTTTGATTGATCTGGTTAAGTTATGTAATGAATGTGAAAGTAATAGAATTGGAATCATATTTATTCAATGAAGATAAAAGTGTTAGAAAGTATATTTGAATCCGATCTCTTCTCGCATAAGGTTTTCTACTAAATTTTAATTTGTCGCTTTTATATATTTTAGAACAAATAAATATTTCATCACATTCTTTATATTTTAATATACAACAAGAAAGAAAATCACTATTATAACCAAATCCCTGAGGACGATATCAAATTACTACATCGAAACTTGGTCCGCTTGCCAAGTGTTACCAAAAAGTTCACCAAGTTTCTGGCGCCGTTGCTGGGGATTTGGCATAGATATTTAGTAACGTTCAATTCTTGTTAATTTTTGTTAATAGTTAATTTTGTGAATATTTATAGTATATATAATTATTTTGTTACTTGGATTTACCCTTTTGTTAAGATTTCTTATATGCGAGGAAAAACTCCAGCCGAAGAATTACAAGTTGATCCTGAGATTAAGAGAACGACAAGGAGAAATAATAGTAGAACAAGAAGGCTTAGACAATTGGAGACACTCCGAGAACAACAGCAAGAGTTAATATTTTCATCTTCTTCAACTTCTTCCAATCAACCGTTCCGTGAGTTGGCTGAAGAAGAAGCATTATGATGGTGGGGCTGAACCAGGTAGACCTCCAAGAAGGACATTAGGTAATTATGTTCTACAACAAGGCCTAAGGCATTTTTCTAGTATTGTAGCTCCTACTGCTTCCAGAGCCATGGAATTGAAACCAACCTTCCTCAGCTTAGTTAGCTCACAACAGTTTACTGGACTTGACCATGAGGATCCATATTCTCATTTGTCTAATTTTTATGAGTTTTGCAGTACAATGGGTATTCCAGAAGGTGATGAAGAAGCTGTTTATCTAAGATTGTTTCCTTTTTCTTTGACAGGTAAAGCTAAAATATGGCTACAATCTCATCCTAATCAAAGTTTGACCAGCTAGAGCGATGTGGAGAACAAATTTGTTAACAGATTTTACCCTTCATCTAAGTATATCAAAGCCAAGGCTGAGATTACTACTTTTAGGCAAAGCATATATGAACCATTTTGTGAATACTGGGAGAGATTTAAATCATTGCTTAGAAAATATCCTAACCATGGGTTTGAAGATATAGCACAACTGAACTTCTTTTGCAATGGAATCAAACCTGAAGTGAAGATGTTGTTAGATGCAGCTGTTGGTGGTACTATGATGTCTGCAGATCCTAATAAAGCCACGCAGATCATTGAGTCATTAGCATCCTCTTATCAACAAGCACAACATGGAAGACATCAATCTCAAAGAAGAGGAATCATTGAATTGAACACTCATGATGCTATTCTTGCTCAGAATAAGTTGCTAACCCAACAGATTGAAACCTTGACAAAACAAAATGGCTAAGCCGCCACAACAACTCCATGCCATACATTCTCCTCAAACCAATCCTCCACTCAAGTGTGATTTCTGTGGAGGAGACCATCCAAATAGGTTCTGTTTAGAAACTACCAATGAAGAGGAAGTCAATTATATGGGTAATCAACTAAGAAGAGGTAATTTTAATTCCCAAAATTTGAATGCTAATAATTTCATGCAGGGAAATCAAGGCTAGAAGAATAATGCTAATAAAACCAAGGCTTTGGATGGAGAAATGAAGTAGAGACTTCCAAGAGATCTCTACAACAACAACAACAAGCTTCTTATCCTTCTATTCATGAGACGACCAGGAAATTGGAAGACACCCTAAATCAATTCATGCAAGTATCTATCACTAACTAGAAGAATACAGAGGCTTCCATAAAAAATTGAGAAGTTTAGGTGGGTCAACTAGCGAAACAATTAGCTGACAAGCTTGAAGGTCCATTCTCAGCAAACACAAAGACCAACCCTAAGGAGCAATGCCAAGCCATCACAATAAGGAGTGGTAAGGTGGTAGGTAGTGATGTTGGAGTGAGTGAGAAAAAGAGTGAGGAGAAAGAAGAACATGAGAATGGTGGTGAGGTTGAGAAATAGATTGAGACGAAAAATGGAGAAAGTAATAATGGTGGGAATGTAAATAATAAGAGTGAGAGTGAAAAAGAAAATGAAAATGACAAAGTAAAGGAAAAGAGCAGAGTAGAAAAAGAAAAGAGTAAGAAGAAGTGCAATGAGGTAATTTTGACAGTTCCTATTAAAGACCTACCTTACCCTCATGCACCATCAAACAAAGAGAAAGAAAGATAGTTTGCAAGATTTCTGGATAATATATGAAGAAGCTCCAGATCAACATTCCTTTCACTGAAGCTATGGAAGAAATGCCCACATATGCTAGATTAATGAAGGATTTGTTTACCAAGAAGAGAAGGATTCTTGAAGAGGAAACCGTGGAGCTTGAAGCAGGGTGCAATGCTATTATACAGAAGTCTCTACCCCAGAAATCCAGAGATCTGGGCAGTTTCACTCTTCCAGTGACTATTGGAAATTTATCAATGGGAAAGACACTTATAGATCTTGGTGCTAGTATCAATTTGATACCTTTATCTATGCTAAAGAAAATTAGAGATGTGGAAGTACGTCCTACAAGGATGACCTTGAAGCTAACAGATAGATCAGTGAAACTTCCACATGGCATAGTTGAAGATATGATAGTAAAGGTGGACAAATTCATGTTTCCAGTGGATTTTGTAGTAATGGATATAGAAGAGGATGTAGAGGTTCCTTTGATTCTAGGTAGACCATTCATAAAGATAGCCCGAGTTATCATTGACATGGATGACGGAAAGCTAAAGGTGCGAGTTCAAGATAATGAGGTTATTTTTAATGTGTTTGAAGCAATGAAGTTTCTAAAAGGTACCAAAGAATGTTTTAGAGTTGATGTATTGGATGATGTGTACTTGAAAGCTCAAGGCAATCTTAGGAACTCATCACCACTTGAAAAAGTTTTGTTTGATGCTGATGAGGAGTTTGATAAGACTTTAGACAAGGAAGTGCAAGAGTGTATTGACAATTTGAATAAAGGTGAAAGTTCTTTTACTAATGCTCATTTGCAAGAAGATGTGAGGGAAGAAGAGAAAGTGCAACCTGTAAAGCTAGAACTGAAGCAACTACCATCTCACTTGAAATATGTCTTTTTAGACAGTGATATTGGGAAGCCAAATATTATTAGCAGTCATTTGTCAAAGGAGCAAGAGAATCAATTGATTGAGGCGATCAAGGCCAATAAAGGTGCTATTGGGTGGACTTTAGCATATTTAAAGGGAATTAGTCCTTCATATTGTATGCATAAGATACACATATAGCAAGATTATAAGCTAGTAGCCCAACCTCATATGCCTGAATCCAACCATGAAGGAGGTAGTGAGAAAAGAGGTGGTTAAGTTGTTAGAAGCCGGTACAATCCACCCATCTCAAATAGTGCTTGGGTCAATCCGGTCCAAGTTGTTCCTAAAAAAAGGGGTATGACAGTTGTGAGAAATGAGAAAAATGAGTTGATTCCAACTAGGACGGTGACAGGATGGCATGTGTATAGACTATAATAAGCTCGACCAAGCCACTAGGAAAGATTACTTTCCCCTACCATTCATGGACCAGATGCTTGAGAGATTGGCTGGTCAGTCATACTATTGTTTCTTGGATGGTTATTCTGAATACAATCAGATAGTAGTAAATCCTCAAGACTAGGAAAAGACAGCTTTCACATGTCCTTTTGGTGTATTTGCTTATAGGAGGATGTCATTTGACTTGTGTAATGCACTAGCCACATTCCAGAGATGTATATTAGCTATTTTTTTTTTATTTACTTGAGAGATGCATTGAGGTGTTCATAGACGAGTTCTCAGTTTTTGGATCCTCTTTTGATGTTTGCTTGAAAAACTTAAACACCGTACTGAAGCAGTGTGTGGAGACCAATTTGGTACTCAACTAGGAGAAGTGTCACTTTATGGTGACTGAAGAAATTATGTTGGGGCATAAAATCTCAGTAAGAGGAATAGAGGTTGATCCAGTCAAAGTGGAGGTCATTGCGTCAAAGGAATAAAGAGCTTCTTGGTGCATGCAGGTTTTTATAGAAGATTCATCAAAGATTTTTCCAAGATAGCTAAGCCTTTTAGTAACCTTCTTCTCAAAAGCATTAAATTTGATTTTAATGATGATTGTTTAAAAGCTTTTGAATTGCTAAAGAAAAAGCTTGCTTCAGCTCCCATAATCATAGCACCAGACTAGAAATATGATTTTGAACTTATGTGTGATGCTAGTGATTATGCAATAGGAGCTGCATTGGGTCAAAGGAAGAATAAAATTTTTCATATCATACACTATGCAAGTAAAGTGTTAAATGAAACTCAAGTAAATTATGCAAAAACTGAGAAAGAGTTACTTGCTATAGTGTATGCACTTGAAAATTTTTGTTCTTATTTCATTGGTTCAAAAATCACTATGTATACTGACCATGCAGCTATAAAGTACTTGTTGACAAAAGCTGACTCCAAGCCTAGGTTGATCTAGTGGATTCTATTGTTACAAGAATTTGATTTGGAGATCAAAGACAAAAAGAGTTGTGAGAATCATGTTGCAGATCACTTATCAAGACTTGTAAATGAACAAGTGACCAGTTAGGAAGGTGAGGTCTTGGAGGAGTTTCTAGATGAAAAGTTATTTGCGGTGAGTGAAAGACCCTGGTTTGCTGATATGGCAAATTACAAGGCAGTAGGAGTCATTCCTGAAGAATATAATTTGCACCAGAAAAAGAAATTCTTCAAAGACTCTAACTTCTGTGTCTGGGATGACCCTTAGTTATTCAAGATAGGATCTGATGGTTTATTGAGAAGGTGTGTATCAGGAAGTGAATGCAAAGATATTCTATGGCACTGCCATAATTCTCCATATGGTGGCCACTACAATGGTGAGCGCACAGCTGCCAAGGTTTTACAAGCAAGATTCTATTGGCCATCTCTCTTCAAGGATGAGCATTGCAAAAGTTATGACAAATGTCAAAGAACAGGTGGAATTTCAAAAAAACATGAGTTACCTTTATAGACTATCCTTGAGGTTGAATTATTTGACTGTTGGGGGATCGATTTTGTTGGTTCACTTCTATCTTCATACTCCAACGAATACATATTGGTTGCTGTGGACTATGTATCAAAATGGATAGAAGCTAGTGCTACTCAGAAGGCCGATGCCAAGACTGTCATTAGGTTCTTGAAGAAAAATATATTTTGTAGGTTTGGTGCTCCAAGAGTGCTCATTAGTGATGGTGGATCACATTTTTGTAATACTCAACTGAGAAAAGTACTTGAGCATTATAGAGTGAGGCATGGAGTGGCTACATTATACCATCTTCAGACTAATGGCCAAGCTGAGGTCTCTAATCGAGAATTAAAGAAGATCCTGGAGAAAATTGTAGCTAGTTCAAGAAAAGATTGGGCCATGAAGCTGGATGACACTCTATGGGCATATAGAACAGCATTCAAGACCCCAATTGGGTTGACTCCATTTCAGCTGGTTTATGGTAAGGCGTGTCATTTGCCCGTGGAGATGGAGCACAAGGCATTTTGGGCCTTGAAGGCATTGAATTTTGACATGAAGACAGCTGGTGAAAAAAGAAAAATTCAGTTGCATGAATTAGAGGAATTGAGATTATAGGTCTATAAGAATAATAAGTTATACAAGAGTAAAGTAAAGGCCTATTATAACAAGAACATAGTGAGAAGGAACTTCCAACCCGGTCAACCAGTTTTGTTATTCAATTCTAGATTGAAGCTATTTCTACGCAAACTCAAATCAAAGTGGTTAGACCCATTTTTGGTTAAATCTGTTAAACCATATGGAGCAATTGAACATGAAGAACCTGCCACAGAAGAACATGGACAGTTAATGGTCAAAGACTCAAGCCTTATTTGGGTGGTGAAGTTGAAAAGCTCATTACCATCACACATCTCAAGGAGATCATGCGGCAATGTCAAGCTAAAGACATTAAATTAGCGTGTTTAGTGTTAATTATGTGTGAATTTGAGTTTGTGTTATCCATATTGTGTGATTAAGTATGTGTGTGTTGAATATTGAAGTCATTTTAGTTGTGCATTTGCTTGTTTAGTTGTGAAAGTTGAGCATTTTTATAACCATTGATATGCATTTGGTTAGAGGTACGTTAGTTAGTTTGTTAATTTGATATGCATTTATATAGATTGTGCATTGTTGTTAGATGATTAGTTAATGTGATTTGCTTTATGTTAGTTTGTTTAATTGAGTGAATTAAAGCTAGTAGAAAGATAGGGTAGGAGGACAATGATCAAGAAAAGTTAGAAGTATAAAGATTCAAGATTTCATATTTTTTGAGTCTCATAGTTGTAGCCCTCACTCATGGCTGCAGCCGTTTTATCAGAAAAATAGCTTAAAAGCAATTGTTGATGTAAGCATTGTAGCACTCATTCCAGGGCCATAGTTGCAACTCTCTGCCAAATCAATTATCCAGAGCTATAGCGCTCATTCCAGGGCTATAGCGCCAACTCTCTGTTTTTGGCATAAAAGTAATATTATCCAGCGCTGCAGTGGTCAAAGTCATCGCTACAGCGGTGAGGCACGAGAATCACTTTAAGTGAATTCAAAACATCAGTTTCATTCATTTTTCTTTTGCGCCCTTACGCTCTCTAAACCCATCACTAACCCTTTACCTTTCTTCCACTTCTCCTTAATTTCTTGCGCATTTTTCTTCAATTTTGGGCATCAAAGGTAACTCTTTTTTTTTTTCTTTTTCCTCCCTTTCTTCCACTTTTCTTTTTCCTTGTTCACCATGGAAGGAACCCAAGCTTCTCTCCTCTCTTATTGTATGATGGTTTCATTGAAGGAATGGATTATCTTGCCTGAGTAAGTGTATTATAATATCATTGAGTTGCTTCCTACTTCCATGTGTATATATTTTTGAACTCCGGGGTTCATATGTTGAACCCTAACTTTGGAAAATTATCATTGTGAAATTTTCATGTTTTAGATACCTTGATGTTTGATTCTAATGTGCTAGACACCGTGATTTGAGTTGTGGATACCTTGTTGTACAGTTTGGTTGAAGCATAAATGAAAATGTGTTTGAAAAATACACTTCAAAGATTTGCATGCAAGGTGTTTGTTAAAATGAGTGTGTGAGATTAAAGGGATGATTGCATTGAAATGATGTGGTTATTGAAACATATCATAGAAGCTTGTCATGGATGGAATGCATTTGTATAATTTCTGTGATGATTGGTTCAAATTTTAGTGATTGATGAATTGT